AGCCCGATGCGGGACTCGATCCAGGGACTCCAGGATCATGACCTGAGCCGAAGGCAGTCGCTTAACCAACTGAGCCACCCAGGCGCCCCAATTCAACACTTTCACATATTGTTAATAGTCACGGAATTATCACAACCTTGACATAAACTATCCTTTATAATATATCTATAAATAGAAGCCTATTAAATGGATTTCTAGTGTATATTAAATGCAGACACTGCAGAAATAGTAATGAAATTGCTTACCACAGATCTCCTTTCTGATCTGTGATGAGTAATGCAGTGATCCAGCAAGCTGTCTTCATCCAATTCCCTCTGACAAAATGGACACACACACCTGGAAATTGCATAGAATACAAAAGTTACTAAAGTCGTTGGCATTTAACTAGAGGTTAAAAAATAGAATGTAGGTGGGTCTAGTTCCCAGCCCTTGTTCTTCCTGATTTGACATTATTTTTCCATCCTGATAATGGTCAGATGAGAAAGTAAGTATCCTCATAGGGATAGAGCGGAGAAAAGAAAGTATCCTCATAGGGACACGGCAGAGAAACAGTTATATATAATGAACACAAAGCACTTTCTTCTCTTTGGAAAAGAAGTGCAATCTGAGCACCCATTAACTGAGAAACTGGGGGGATCACATCACCCAGCTGTCCCTGGGTTACTTTGTCCTGTTTTTCTTCCCCGCTTTCCTAATTCAGGTCCCATAACTGGGTGTTACTTGTTCTCCAACTCCACCAGCATATGTAACTACTGGTATATTTAAGGAGTATTTGTCCCTTAGGTTGTGCTGTCCACTACCCGAGCTAGGAGCCATATATGTCTACTGGCGCTTGGAACGTGGCTATCGAAATTGAGTTATGCTGGAAGTACAAAATGCACACTGGGTTTCAAAGGCTTAATATTTAAAAAAAGGTGAGGGGCGCCTGGGTGGCTCAGTCGGTTAAGCGTCTGCCTTCGGCTCAGGTCATGATCCCAGGGTCCTGGGATCGAGCCCCGCATCGGGCTT